ATCTCGGACACTGCCTCGGTCATGTGGCTTTGGGGGTGAATTTTTCTTTACAGAAAAAGGGAAAGGAATGAAGTATATTTAGATTCACCTCACCATGTTCAAAACATAACAGCAGCCATCAAAAAGAGGTTTAAAACCAAAACTAAGGCTAAGTTTTCTTAAGGCGTGAATGTAAATTATGTCTCCAAAGAAGCTGGGGTTAGGCTTTCAATTAAAATGAAAATGCTTTCCTCTTTAAACATGTGCCGTATTTAAGTTTGGATTTGTTTGCTTGTTTCGGGGCATTTCTGTAATTTTGCCAACCAAACAACCCAACGGTCGCGGATGTCGGTTAGAGCGCAGGGGTAAAGGCACGGGGCAAGTAGAGCACCAGCATGGAGCTGAATACACGGGCTGGCCTGGCTCAGCTGGGAACCCACAGCCTCACTCCCCCAGCTCCCAACACCCCCCGTCCCTCGGTCCCAAGGCTCTCTGTGCGTCCCTCTCCTAAACCCTCTCCCAATTCCCTCCCCAAACCTCCCAGGCACCCTGATTGTTAGAAGAAGCGACACCAAACTTCCAAAACTCTCACTTTGATAGGTTACAACCCCAGCGTGCTTTGCACCCTCCTGCCCGCCTCTTGAACGCCAGGATTTGTCTAATCCAGTCCCCAAAATGGATCACACAACAGCAACTAGAGAGAAGGGATACTTCTCATCAGTTCTCGTGTGGCGTGTCTATAGCTTTCATTCAGATCCTGATAAAGCCCAGACGGTCCAATCCCATGGCTTCTGCCCAGTTCTCTTCTGTGCCTGAATGGTAGTGTCCTAGTAAAGCTGGGCGGTAACTTCCCTTCCCTTGCTCCCCCCTTACACACACACACACACACACACACACACACACACGAAAGAGAGGGAAAAAAAGACCTAACGCTTGAACTCACTGGTCAGCAGGAAAAAGTTTTTGCATTTGTCTGCCACGGATGAACTTCTGTCAAGTCACTCCTGCCACTTCGACCCCAAAAGCAATCTGAGCAGAGGCAGCCCTAAATTGTCTAAAGTTATTTCACTCCCGCTCGGCTCCAGGCCTCATCCCATCAGAATTATCCCCCTGCCGTACACAGCCATGCCCCCTCTCCTACTAATACAAACACACACACACACACACACACATTATTCTCTAATGTTGTAAAGAAGAGAGGAGTACCAGTCCCATAATATAATTGCTGTATTACAAAGAAGCAGGCAAGAATAATAAGATAAGGTGTCAAAAGTGAAATACAGTAGTAGACTTAAAAAAAAAAAAACCCACAGTTCTATGATGGGGGTGTTAATTGAACACAGAGAAAAAAGAAAGGAGAGAGAACAAAAGAGTGTTAAGGAAGTAAAAAAAAAAATAATTTTTTAACCTCCTTTAGTGATTTGATTTAACTTCAGTGCAGATAATTCGCAGAGGAAAATCGGCTGAAAATGCCATAGATAGCTATTATGTTCTAAAATTAAAAACTATTCACAACAATTACAGCTATTCATTGCTATCTATAAATATTCTCCTTAGTAAATGGCACCCAATATTTCTTGTGTGTTTTCTTCATTTTTAAACCTGCATGATTTTTGACACAAAAGTCGAAAAAAGAGAAAAAAGAAAAAGACTGGGAAAATACAAGCAAGGGCTTTTTTAAGAAATGCAGTGTGTTTGCCTTTTTTTTTCCCCCTCCTCTCTTCCATCCCACCAACCCCACTACCACCACACACACATATGTAAACTCAGCCAATTGCTAATTTGTCAGAAGACAAGGAATGGTTCCTTAAAAAAAAACAAGAGAAAATAAAATATTGAGGGGCCCCAAACTCTCCATTGAATCCCTCTGTTCCTAGAAGGAGAGAGCAGATAAAAGCCCCTTCTGAAACACACATTGTTGTGGGTCTGGACAAGGTTTTCCTGGCTGTTGTTTGAGATCTGATGCACGAGCACTTTGCAAACAATCTTTTTTTCCCTAGCATTGATTTTAAAAAAGCAAAAGGGTATCAAAATAAAAACTCATCCACACTCTGAAGCAAGAAGACACATGGTGTTTTTTTTTTTTAATATCCTCACAGTAATTTCTGACTTAAATACCCATCAATCAACTGTAATTTAGACGCTGCTGCGTACTTGGCGTGTTGTGCGCATGTATTTCTTTCAAGTTCCAAAAGGTTGGTAAGACTGTCTTTGCTAGTGTTCTACTTCTTTCTGAGTTTTCCAACCGAAACCAGTAACAAAAGCAAAAAAAAGTAAAAGCAGCAAATGAAGGCCATTGCCACGCTCCTCTCAGAGTCCCGTCTTCCTGACATAAGACCTAGGTGAGCCAAACGTGTCAACTTGGCAGGAGAATACACACCAGCAAACAAGCCCACCGGAGTTCAAGTAACTCGTTCAAGGCAAGAGGGCTTGGAAGAACAATAAAAAAGTCCCATAACAATAAAGGAATGCCTAGAAACTGACCATCCAACAGATCTGGTTCCCAGCTCTGTCCCAAGAAGGGTAAAAAAAAAAAGGCTCCTACAACTTATCAACCGCAAGGAAGATATGCTGGCACAGGGACCAGGAGTTGGGCAAACCCCAAGACCGAAGTAATAATCATGCTTTAGAATCATGCTTTTAGAATCAAAGGCTTCTCCTTCACACACCCGTCGTCTGTCCTCTACCTTTAACACATAACACTCAACATTCCAGGAGACGTTTCTTCCTTCCCCTCACTACTAACGTACAAGTGGGAAAAAAAAACACGGAGGAAGGCCCTTTTTTACTTTTTTTTTTTTTTTTTAATAAACTTTCACCCATGGGTGCTCTCTCAACCCACAACCCTATATGTGCCTATGTGTGCGTGTGTACACGTGCACAGATTTCCCCTTTAACACAGGGGTAGGGATCCTTGCCGTTTGCAATTTCCAGGACTTGATCAACTATGTTTTAAATGTATGATTCTAAAGACAACACACTGAACCTTAACTTAGATTTTTTTTTTAAGTCTCCAGACATTAATTCATTAAGTGCCAGAAAATTTTTAAAAAGCAAAATACACAAGCCGATGATAAATTACACCTACAAGTGTGATTTTTGACCAATACCACTGCTTCCTATCACTGTAGTGTAGCCAATATGAAGAAGGAACAAACTCTTTAACACCGGAACCGGATCTCTATTCACACCCACCCACTTTGATCTACTGCCTTAGTAGGTTTTAATTAGAAGACCAGAATTAAACACTTTGGCCACAATATATACCCAAGTGCCCTGATGGGCTTCCTTTCAATAAAAATCTGATTAAAGTGTCTTCAAAAAAAGAGTCATCTCAGCCTGGATTATCAAATATGGCTTTACGTCTTGATTTCTAGATTTCATTACTCAAAGACAGGCAGGAAAACAGGCTCGATTGGAGAGAAATTTCAACAAAACACATATCTCAAGTAAATAAGCATCGGAGATCAAAAGAGAAAATGAGAAGGAAATAAAAAAAGGAGAGAAGAAACAAATAGACATGCACTTAGGCTTCCTGCTCTGGCTAATAGAAAACAAACAAACTAAAAAGTGTGACAAACTGGAAAAGCTCTTTGATATTTGCATGCACCCTTCATCCATCTCTTAAAAGTATTTCACAGCTAAAATAATGTAATTAACAGCTTTGCAGTAAGGTTAGGCTCTGGCAAGGCAACCTGGAAGTCTTGAAGGTCTGAACATCACTGCTTAGGTGCTTTGTCTAGAATGTTATGCACAACACAAATAACATTCAACAAAGGAGCTGCTGACTAATTTCACATAGATTTCAAGACCCAAGCAATTACGCGTTCATCAGCGGCCACATCTTGAAATTATTTATTTTTAAAACACAAACAGAGAGCTTTTGAAAAGAGAGCCACCCTGTGTGCCCTCCCCCCCCCACCTTTTTTTATGTGTAACTATCAATGTATATCAACCGGGCATGCAATCATATTTATTGTCACTTTCATTCATGTCATGCCCTTGCTTATATGGTTTAGATATGAATTATTGACTGTTACACTCCTTGTTGTAAAAAATAAATAAACAAATAGGATGGCAGGTACTTTGCACTGCTCTGAAGCGAGCGAGCAAGTCAGAGGCCGGCAGAAGCTCCCGCTTTATATAACCACCCCTCGTTCCTCATCTTTATGCCCTAGTTTCAGATTGATTTCTCAACTCTCTCTTTTTACAAGGGAGAGATGCACCCACTTTGGAAAAGGAAGGCTTAACCCAGACAAACACGAGGATGCGGCTAAATGTCCTTTGCAGAGCATCTGTTGTTTAAGAACACCTCTGATTGATGATTGCTATTTTTTAATTGTTGCTTTAAAATTTAAATGCCCTCCTGGGACGTGTTATAAGTGTGTGAGTCCATGATATGAGGTCTAGAAAGTAGAAAAAACAACAGAATGAGGGATCTCATGGCATGATATTCCCCTCAACCCAACGCTTCTCCCTGCTATAAAATCACAGGGCACTCAGACGCGGGGTAACCTGCCGTTGTATGGCGCTTTCCACAAAGGTATTTGATAACACTGCTGAGAACCTTTAGCCTGCTGCTCGATACAATCACAAGAAAAAAAGGAAAGGAAACTTTAAACAGTTCAGCCCCCATGCCCAACTCCAAAAAAAGGAGGGTTTTCAATATGGGCCAAAAATATTTTCCTACAGGAAACAGACTTTTACTTTCATATTTTTCCCCCAAAGGCACACATCATTCCATAAATTTCCCTTCAGAACCTCTCTTTGAGCCCCAATTTCAAAGAGGCTGGTGACAGAGTCAAGGAAAATAAACCAGTCATGCTTGATAATAACTGTCAAAGAAACTTGGTGCTTTTTCCAGGAAGCAGAGCTACTAGGATTTCCTATTGGAATCTGCGATCAATCTTGACAGCACTTTTATGCTGAAATTTTAATATTTAAATAATGGGTTTGTCATTTCTGGTGAAGTGAATCAATTGGCCAAAGAAAATGCTTAAATGTTGGAATCTCAGTCCTACCTGTTTTTTCTTTGATTTCACACAACACATTAAACAAGGCAGGCTTCATTCTGTGGCAGTTTAAAGCATGTTTTCTGCAAGAAAGAAACAACAATGTAATAGGACTTTCAAGATCAAACTGCAGATAATGCACAGGGGGAAAAATCTGAGCATTTAGCCAAAATCATATCCCAAGCATAACTCTGTGGCATGCTTCAATTGTTTTATGACTTAATATACAGAGTCCCGCCATAGAAAAAGAAATAATGTTAATTAGCAGGGAGAGAGTAGGGATTTAACTACAGAACAGAACTAACCTAAATTATGCCCATTTAGGCGGAGTTAGTTTGTTGTGTTTTTTTTTTTTTTTTTTTTTTAGTTCAATTAAAGTGGAATTCTTAAACTAATAATCCTATCAAGGGCAATGACTACGGCAAAGCCAAAAGCATGGGATAACAGTTTTCTATAATCTATGCAGCCACCCCGGCCCAGGAGCTGTCTGCCTCTCGGTCTGTGTGTGTGTTTTCAAATTTAATTCATCCATGTGTTCGAATTCATTCCGCAGATGCCCCTGTATTCTCATAAACACAAGATGCTTGAAAGGTCTTCTGAGTAGAACTGTCAATTTATAAAATTTCAGTCCCCAAGTTAAAGAGTATGGAAATGCATTGCCAGGGGGCAAACATACCCATATGGGGAATAAATTCATTTCTCTGTGTTCACATTATGCCTCTTGTGCGCACACTGCTTATTTGCAGGTGTTGAAATTCAATTATTTACAATTAGGACCTTGCACCCATTGGGGAAAAAATAAATACAATTCTGCCTTTTAGATTAGTGATTTACCTGGTTCTTGTGGGTGTTTGTATTCAGAAGACACTTGAAGAAGCAAACAATACCTTTCCCTTGATTTTACTATGGAAGCACTTAGCAGAAAGATATTGTTTTGGAAACAAAATCCTGATCATATCAGCTATCAGGGAAGGGAATTCTGTTTACAAACTCAAATTAATGTGTAAAGACAAATGGAAACCCCTGGCACTCCAGACACATGCAATTCTTTTTTAATTCTTGTGAAAGTTAAAAAAAAAAAAAAATAGACACATCCCCATGAAGAACAGTAACAAGAAGTCAGTTCTATATACTACTGTACAGCAGGGGAATAAACTCAAAAATTCAAGAGTATCAAAATAAACACATGCATTGTGTCTAAAACACGAAGGGTTTACTTTGTAAATAATAAATGTACATGAGAAAGGTATGGCTAAGGAAAGGAAAAAGAGATTCAGTGTTGCTAAGTAGAGTTACATTGTTTAACCAAAAAGAGAGCTTACTGGTGATTGAGTTCCCCTGTGGGGTGAGAAAAAAGGTGGAAAATACTTCACTGTATCTAAGACCCCTTTTGGGGCCTTTTAGAATAGTTTCATTAATTGTATTCTTACATATAGGCCCAAATGGAAAAACAAACAAAAGCAACAACAACAAAAAAGCCCCACACGGCTTCCCAGAAATATTGCATTTCCACAGCACAGCAAAGGGGTTATGGAAGGAGAACAGATTTCCCTCTCCCCAAATTGTGTCTGATCTCTCAGCATCTAGGCCACTGTAAGGGGGGACCCGCCAGGCCACGGCTGCCCTCAGTTGTACAAAAAGGAATACGACTCAACATGAGAAAAGTGGTGAGTCTCCAGTCTTCCCGGCCCCTTCTAGTTCACAAACTTGTTATTAAACCAGTTTACTGGTTATGTCTGAGTTTATTTTTCTGGAACAATGCAATGGAGAAATCTGTTCCAATTCAAAAAGAGATAGCCAGTGGGAAATCTTCTACTTTACGATAATTATTAGTTTCTCTTCAGATACTACAATTCAAAATGAGCTCCGATTCATTTCTGAAAACTTTCCCCCATTTAAGAAAATCAAGAATAGTCCCAGTCTTCGAACATTTCTAAGTTTTCGAGCCCACGGGAACCTCAATACTTCTGAGTTTACATGTTTCATGTGCTTGCTGCCAAAATAAGGATGTAATTCATAACATCCATGCTTTGAACTGCTTCTCATTTTCTCAACTCAAATTCTTTATTTCCATAAGACAAAAATACACAGAACGATGTCCATTATAACTAAGTCATTTGGGGTATAGGAATTGTGTACATATTTAAAAAAAAAAACTACTTCTGAGATTTAACAAAGCGGGGTAATTAAGTGTAAAGATATATGTGGTCATTAGATTTTTTAAATTCTTCCTTTTGAGATCAGTCTTGGGCAAGCTGTTAGTGGGTTGCCACTAACTCTACATTTTATTCTGAAAGAGAATTTACTGTAAAATCCTAGAGTAGAGAACTGTATACTGGGAAGTGAATTAAGTTGAGAAGCTCACAGCTTCTTTATTATGGTTCCTTAATAAAGATCTTCCTATCCTATAGTACTGAAATACATGAAATTCCCACATGCCTTCATTTCTATTTATTTGCATTCTAACTGGTCCTTGAAAGAAGCATGGGGAAAAAGCATGCTTGATTTTTGCCCCCCCCCACACACCCCTTTTTAAAGGACCATACATTCTGTGCCACGGAAGGCTGCTAAACGGACTCAAATGAGGAGACAATAAAGTTCAACTAAATATCTGAGTCGCCCAAAACTAACAAATACACCTCAAAACAGAATTATGTTTTCCTTCTTTCCATTAGCTTCTTTTGAAACAGAATCAAATGAATGCAAAATATCTTTTGGATAGCTGACAAGGACTGACAAAGAATTAATCTGCCTTTTTATGGGGGGGGGCAGAAAGGTGAAAAGATAAAAATTAATTTTGGAGGGGTACGCCGAGAAAGAAAAGCAAACTCTCCGGAATAGGTGAGCAGTCAGTAAATTTGCAAATGAAAGTGTTATTGGGACATTTTATTTGTAATGTTACAGAGTCCCTCAATAAGAAGGCACGGAATGCTGTTCAAAACTTGAGAATTCTGCTCTCTCTGATACTTTTTTAAAGCAGTAAAAAGTGCCGAGGGCCGCTTTTGGTTCGGTTGGCAGTATTTTCGGCGTGCCTGAGTGTTTGTGTGGACATATATGAATATCTCTATATTTACACACACACACACATTGCACACACACACACATTGCACACACACACAGCCACATCTCGGCATGGGCGATTACACTTTCGATAACAACGCTCCTTCCAATTTTACTCCTCCGCCATGTAGTTGCTCGTCAAAATGGAAAAAGAAATAACATTTAAAAAGAAAGCGCTGTGCTGATTCGGTTCCCATTGTTTCCCCCTGCGAGAGGGAGAAAAACAAAAAACCCCAAGAAAGGAAAAGAAAAGCCTCCATCTCACCTGGCCTGCGCCTCATCCAAACTCTGGTCTGTGATGGTCATAATTTGCTGTAAAATGTCTCCAATGTCCTGCTTCCTCCCGCCCTCCCCCTCGGTCCCTCCGGCCCCGTCCTGCAAGTGCTGGGACAGGCCGGGGTGTCCGGCCATCCCGACCCCAGCATGGGAATGCATCAGCCTGGGCTGCTCGTCCATCTCCAAAGGCAACGGCAGCCCCTGGCTCTTCCTCTTCTGCTCCTCGGCTCGGCTCCTGGGCAGCACCAAGGCTTTTTATCCTTCAAGCTGGCTTCAGATCCTTTTCAGGATAAACAGGGAAGGGGGAAAAAAAGAAGACCAAAAGAAAAAAAAAATCCCTTTGCCTCTTTTAGAGGCTGGTGGGAGGATGGGGAGTGGGGAGGGGGAGGGGGGCGTGAAGGGGTTGCGGGGTGAGGGTGGGGATAAGGGCTGGTGGGGAAGGGTGTTGACTCCAAAAAGCAAGAAAAATAAACCACCTTCCCACTTGACGAAAAGAAATCAGAGCTGGCTTTTGGTTTTTCAGTCCGGTCTCCTTTGCAAGGCAGAAATGGGCTCCCGGCGCTTAAATCTGTGGCTTAATCCTTTTGCAAATATGCATTGATCGGGAGAAAGGAGAGGAAGGCAGGGGGATTGCAATGCAAACTTTCCCCCCCACCCCCCGCTGCCCCCCACCCCCACTCCGGGCCAGAGTGATCTCAAAGGGGGTGGGCTGTTGCAAAAGCCAGATCTCCCCCGGCCGCGGCGGCAGGCAGAGCACAGGCTCTCTCCTTCTCCGTGTCTCTGCAAACTCCGGCAGCCCCGTCAGCCTCCTGCTTTTGTTTAGCTCAGGCTCAGGACTCCAGAAACACATACAGAAAAACCACAGCCTGCGAGAAGGAGGAGGAGGAGGAGAAGGAGGAGGAGGAGGAGAAGGAGGAGGAGGAGGAGGAGGAGGAGGAGGAGGAGGAGGAGGAGGAGGAGGAGGAGGAGGACGAGAAGGAGGAGAGGGGAGGGGGCGGGGAAGCCGGGGGGCGGGGGAGAGGAGGGAGGAGGGAGTGCGGGCCCCGCCCCCCGGTCCTGATTGGCTGTCGGAGGGAAGACGGGCCCTCCTCCCCCTGCTGGCCTCCCTGCGCCTCCTCCTTGGCCTCCTTCGGCTCCTCCTCGCCCGGCGCCCTGTCAATCAGAGTTCAGAGGTGGGCCGGGAAGGAGGCCGGGCCAGTGCCAAGTCTCCAGTCCTTAAAGGTGCAATGGTACCGGAGCTCCGGCTCAGTTAATGCCCAGTCTTGTCGCCTCCCTCGCTTAGCTGCCGTCCTTGAGGAAAATGTGGCTCCACTTCAGTGCAAACGTATAATATTTACACACGGCGTGAGTCTACCCCCACCCTTGTTTTCTTTTGCTGTAATATTGCAATTGGAAAACTGGATGGTTGTAAATCCTTACACCTCAGGGAAACCATTGAGACCGAAAGTTTGTCAGCACGAGGTAGTTATGAAGCACAATCGCGCTGCTAATATAACTAACAATGATCTCTAATAAACAGCAAACGCAATAATAGATTTTTTAAGAAATCACAGCAGAGTTAAAAGTTATACCGAACTGTGACATTTTTGTTGCATGAAAATCAAATTATGAACTATGAAACAAAATAATGTTGAAGAAAAAAAGATTAATAAATAAGTCCACAGAATGAATCTAATTCAACATATCTCTCCCTTCCCCCTGGGGGAAATTAGTTATTTGGCTTAAATACTTAATAAAGAAATGCATTATCACAGTCTGGTTCTAGTTTTTAATATAGTCTAATAAGCATTATTAACTGGAATAAGAAACAGACTGACGTTTATTGAGTGCCTACTATGCACCAAGTAATTTACATGACTTATTTTATTTAATCCCCAAGACATCTCTGTGAGCTATGGACTACGATTTTCACTTTACAGAGAGGGAGCTCAGAGAGGTTACATAACTTGTCCAAGTTCCCACAATTTTTAAGTGTTGAAGCTGGAATTCAAACAGAAGTGTGGCCCTCTACAAAAACCTGGTGTTTCAACTTCGCAGCCTGCCTGGGTCGAATGGAAATAGGTGAATCTCGTAAAAATTAGCTATGCATGCATTGCCCATGTTGTTGTAAACAGACTTAAAGTGCTTTAAAAGATACATAGCTGAACAAAATGACTCAACTTGGAAAATGAGTAGGAAAGAATGAAAAAAGATTTAAATAGAATGGCGGGGGGGGGGGGGGGGGGGGAGGTAATAAGAAACTCCCAGCTGAAGTTCTATACTATACCGCTAGGTAGATCACAAATTTGCCTCCCATCTTTTCATCAGACAAGGTGAGAGGAGACATCTGACTGGCTATGCAGTCACAATGGGCAAAAGATAAAAGGGCAAATGAATTACTTAGGCCAAGTCCAGAATATGTTGAAACCTAAACTGTTCTAATGTATAACCAGCCCTCTGCCCAGATGGTGGTATGGCCAAAGGAAACGTGTGGAACCCCTGCAAACCTCAGTGTATCCAACCTGCAAAATGGAAGGCAAGCTTGCCAGGTGCTTTGAGATCCTCAAATAAAATGTTACTCTTTTCATCACTCCAACCTCCTTCCCAATCATTATCAAAAACAAGTTTGGCAACATACTGAGAGCTTATGAAAGGATTTCAAAGCCATTCTTAACAAGCTACTTGGAACTTACTGGCATGAGGGCATGCAGTAAGGCATATTAATGGTAATTATGATGCCATTACTTAATAACAATTGTTTTATTCATAGACGTACCCTGACTTGTAAACTGGTTTTTTAAATCAACACTAATAAAAAGTTGAGCACAAATGATATCCTCAGACTGTATGTCAATCACAGCGAATATCCCTTAAAATGATGAAATGATCCCATCTTCAAGCATGAAAAGTCGTCAACCCAGGTCCTAGGTGAAATCAGTATGTGAGCAAGTGATTTTCACAGAAAATCTAATAAAAGTTCACCAGACAACGTATTGGAAAAGGTATCATTGATACCAGAAGGTCATTGTCATCTAGAAACATTCCTTTTGGGGTGATAAAAATGTTCTACAGTTACATAGGGGTGATGATAGCTCCATTTGGGGAATATAGTAAAAACCAGAATTTTTTTTGTACAGAGACTTATACACTTTTTAAGTGTGAATTTTATGGTAATGTGAATTATATCTCATTAAAGCCTTTTTTAGGATAAAAAAATTAGGAAAGTGAGAAATGTCTACAATAATAATATTAATGATAGTTAGTATTTATTGAGTGCTTGGGGTGCCTGGCTGGCTTAGCCTGTAAGAGGGTACAATTCTTGATCTTGGGGTCATGGGTTTGAGTCCCACATTGGATATAGAGATTACTTAAAAATAAAATATTTAACAAAAAATTTGTTGAGTGCTTTAGCATGATCGCAACATGGGTTTGAACTGGGCAGGTCCATTTATATGTGGATTTTCTTAATAAATATAGTACAGTAAAATAAATACAGTACTGTGAATATATTTTCTTTTATGATTTTCTTTTTTTTTAAGATTTATTTTATTATTTTATTTTAGTTTTTAGAAAGAAAGAGAGCATGCAGTAAGGGGATAGGGGCAAAGGGAGAGGGAAAGAAAGAATCTCCAGCAGACTCCTCACTGAGCATGAAGCCAGCTTGATCCCACTACCCTGAGAACATGACCTGAGCCCAAATCAAGAGTCAGACGCTTAACAAATAAGTCACCCAGGTGCCCCTTACTTATGATTTTCTTAATAACATTTTCATTTCTCTAGTTTACTTTAAGACTATATATATGATACATATAATAATACATATACTACATATGTGTTAATCAACTCTTATGTTATTGATAAGGCTTCTGGTCAACAGTAGGCTATCAGTAGTTAAATTTGGATTTTCTACTGCATAGGGCCTTGGCACCCCTAGCCCCCATGTGTTCAAAGGTGAACAGCATATTCAACATACTTTACTAATTTAATCACCACAACTGTCTCATCTCAATACCTATGCTTTTAATTATTACTCTATAGTGATGCCAAAACACATTTCAATATATATTTAATGTTATAGATGAGATATCTTGTCCTAGACGCCCGTGAGGGATGAGAAGCCGGGCAGCCCAATTACAGTGATTAGAAGAAAGCTTTGAGTGATAAGTAAAAGCATGGGTATTGAGGTCGGACACTTGGGGTGATTAAATTAATAAAGTAGGTTAAATATACCATTGGTCCTTGAACAACTGGTTGGATTAGAGGTCCTGCTCTCCACACAGTCAAAAATCTGCATAGAACTTTGGATGCCCCCAAAACTTAAGTAGTAACATCCTACCGTTGCCAGACACCAAATTTTTGGAGAAGATACAATAAGAGGAATTAGGAAAGTGTCAGAAGCAAGGGAAAGTAGGGGCGATTACGAGGAACATTTTCAAGAAAGAGCCAGTAGAACTTCATAATTGATTTTACGTGGATTGGGGAAGGGATAAAGAAATGTTTTCCAGCTTATGTGGGAAGAATGAAATAGTGTTAACAGAATAGTAATTCTAACTATAGATACAATTTGTTGAGTGCTGGTTGTGTTTTAGCCACTGTATGAACACGACTGCTTAATTTCAGCGATGGGGCCCTTCATTGTAACAACTTTGTGAGATTATCATCTCCATTTTGCAGATGAAGAAACCAAAGTTCCTGGAAATTGAATTACTTCACAAAGTATGGATTTGAAAACTCTTTTATTTGAAACGCATCACAGATGAAAGGAAGTTCAGAGGAAACACTACCAAAGGTGAAATAGAATAAAAATTAGAATCTTCTCTTCTCATTAAGGAACTTCTAGAAGTAGATTCTGGGGAGAAATTTACACGCTTTATGCGCTGGGACAAGGGATGGATAGTGCTTTTGTGTTCGTTCCATATCTCAGTGGTGCCTCACTTGTAATAGATATTTTTTAACCCACTGAGCCACCCAGGCACCCCAGTATTTTTTAACACATCTGTGTTGAAAGAGTGAAGGATGCTAGCCGTCCTGCTATATTGCTTCAGAATAATACCAGAAGTTCACTGAATCATATTTCAGAGACATGAGCCATTATCAGTTTTGGCCACTTAGCATAGTCATTCTCAATGCAGTCTTACTCTAATGTTTACAAAGTCATCGCACCATGTTTACCTGTGCGTCAAGATTTCGTTTACTCTGAAGATTCTCTTTCAAACTCCGTTAGATACCCAGCGATACATGTTCTCATCTTCATTAAGGGACAAAGAGCAGGGTGCAAAGAGCCAGGTCCTTCCCCAGCAAAGCAAACCAAATGGAAAGAGACAGGCTCCCAGAATGGTCCCAGAAATAAGTTCACTACCAGGTGGTCTTACATCATCTAAGCAGACACTCATCCAGTATGTCTATGATTATATTTGAATTGACCTCTAGGCTTCTGTAACTCTTCTGCTTGTGTGGGAACAGAAATTGTCCTCCACCCAAGAGTTCACAACTCCAGGCAGTCGATGGCCCCAATTCCTCACCCAAGGACTCTAGACTTTATTTTTCATGTCTTCTCTTATCCTCGTTCCTTGCTCTTCTTCAACTTTTCCACTCCCTTCTCTACCTCCATTCCTCCTGTGCTTCCCCTTCCTTCACCTGCCCTCCTCCATCCAGCTCGTCCTGCTCAC